ATGTTCTTAAGAAAGAAAACAAGAAATTATACATTTGAAGACTATAACTTTTTGCTATATTGTTTATAGAATATCTTCTAAATTTATTCAGATGATGCTTTAAAAAAAGCTTGAATATAGTAATTCCACAGAAAATGTCCACATTTTCTTTATTTAAAATCAATTTAGGAATTTGCTTAATTCCTACTTAACAAAAGAAATTAATGTCATGTATCAGATGATAAAAGTTGGCTGTTTTGAGTATTGTATTCCTGTTAGCTAAAGATTAAAAGGATTTACCCTAACATTGAAAGATATTTATATCTACGGTATTTAAGTGACACCTTCTGTAATGCCTTCTCTCTTTCAGGCAAACTTTGTGCAAAAAAACCAATAGAAATAGCATAACTACTTTGTCCTGTGTGGCCAGCAAAAATATGTAAATTTCATTTGTCTCTAAATATTTTATCAGAAATAATACACATCTGTAGATATGTATAATAATACATACACACACACACACACACACACATATATATACACACACACATGGCTTCTCCATGGACTTACTTGGATGTTGTGCATATGTAGAAGGTATTTTGTTTTTGCAATAATACCACAAAGTAGTATTTTAATATGAAGAAAATATTAGGAGTAAAAAAAAAGAATACACTTAGTTAAGGAAATAGAATTTTAGAACCTCAAATTAAAGACTGCCTCTAACAAAAAAATGCCCAGTCCTTCTAATTCTCATCAACTATAATTCTGTCTGAAGGAAATATTTGTTGACCCTATTAACAGAGATTTTGAAAATTAGCATTTAAAAAATTTAAGTGACTCCTGAACACACTGATTTTTATGTAAATATGCTAGTTTACTGGATTCCCCTTACTAAAATATGCAGCTATTGCTTTTTTCTTAAGAGATACCATTGCTTCAGAAAACAATGCAATTAATCTGCTACTGTAACACAGTGCTTATCAATAGCTGCCTTTCTGTTTGAAAGGTTCAGACAATCAAAAAAAGAGATAACAGAAATGCTAGCAAGATTGTCAGGGAACTGAATGTTTTCCTCAGAGAGACCAAATCTCTGCACACCTTCCTCATGCGGCTGAAATGAACAGGAGTACTCTCTTCAGTGAAGTGGGACACTTTCCATCTGTAACCTACATGTTTCAGTGAATTAAATTGTTTAACTTAAAATCATATTCTCCAGTAAGGCTTTTTTGCTTTTGATTCAAATGTCTCCTGTTGAGTTCTCTTGAGTACAAATCTCAGTATGCAGTAAACATAACAATTCAAGACTGGTCAGCTGACAGCCAGAATACCTGGGTTGGGGAATAGATTCTGGTTTCTTGGCTCTGGGAGAGAGTATGCTGAGCGTGCCATGACCCAGAGTCGTGGGTTGGTGAAAATCCTCTGTCATCAGTCACACTGAAGCTTGGGGACGCCCACTGCCATAAATCAATCAATCAGTCAATCATTTATTAATCAGGTACTTGCATTTTCATAGTTAATATAAAAATGGGCTCTAAACAATGCCTTCTCTATAATGATACTCCAGCTTTATAATACAGTGGGGTCTTTATCTTAAATTAATTCATCCTTTTTTTAAGAGGGTAACATATTAATCTGAAAAAGCTCTTGCCAATTGTACAGAAATAAATTAAGCCCTGCTGATAGTTCAGCACTGCAAAATACATATGCCCATGAAAAATCTGAGCACATGAATAGTTCCTTCAAGTCAAGCCACTTTTTGAGGAACTATTCTATTCTGGATTTAGAATTTACATTCTTAATATATGGTTTAAGTTCTGCACAGACCTCTTCATTAGATAAATCTAACCTAAAACAGTTTCTTTTTGGGGGATGTCAGACTAATGATAATCTTACCACAAGAAAATCCAAATGATGTGTCCCAAGTCTACATGATAGCATGTTGTAATTAACATTTTGAGTAGCTGTATTTTATTTAAGAAAGGACTTTAGATTCTAAAACTCCTTGAGTAGGGTTTTGAAGTTTAATACTGGCCATCTTCATGGAACATTTAGCCACAAAGGACCTCACACTTCTCATCATTTTATTATTCTGAAAGTCACATGAAAAGCGAGTCCTCTTCTATATCCAGATGGGCCTTAACTCCTTCTAAGGCTTTGGGCAACTCTACGTGCCTTTCCCAATCAATGACAAACAAGGCCATCTTCAGAGTGACTACTCTGACTTCATTAAATTCCTATCACAATACTATCCCTGTTGTAAATGGCACAGTAAATGCTGAAGGACGACTGCCTGTAACAGCCTCCCTGGTTTCAAACACTGAGTGGTGTTTTTATTTATACAGCAGGTGAATACGACAAACATTTCTAATATTCCATGCAGAACAGAAACCTATGAGGGGAAAAAAATAATTTCTACAAATTTACCATGACACCTACTTGTATACTGGAAGACAGAGTAAGTTTAAACAAGATAGAATGTAAACATATTTTGCTGGAGCCTAAGTGGTTAGGAAAAGAAAATCAATTAATAGAAAACATATTCTTTCTGACAGTTCCCCCAGCTTTTTAATATTATGCACGTTTAATGTTAATTGAGTCTTGTTTTTAGGTAATAATTTTTCTTTCCTGTTACCCTCATTTAGCACAACCCTTTTGCTCAAATTTCCTCATGTAATTTAACAAGCTATCTGTGTTTAAGAGGAGTTGGTTATCTTCTTGAATACTGAAACAGAGTTTACTTGCTAATGGAAATCTGCTCTCTTACAGTCACATCTGTATTTTCGAAGGTGTCCCCAAATCTTCAACCAACTAATACCCTAGAGACTGGAGTGGGGGCCAGTGATCCTGACTTGGAAATAGGTGTCTTTAAAGAAGCACTGTAGTAGCTCCTTTCACATCGCTTACGTGGATAAAGTAAACAGGACAGGATCATTCTCTGCAGACTGCAAGCAGCACTTGTTTCTCCTGCTTACCATTCAGGTTACCAAGATACTTGAAGAAGAGGGGTGTACCAGCAGTTTAAAGTACAGGGGCAAGCTGTGGGATGGCTCCTGTAACTGGTGTTTAAGAAATGTTGAGCCATTAACCCACCTATGGGGCTATGGACCATGTGACCACTAAGCATGTTTGAAAGTCAGATTTTAGGTATTTTGGAATAGATTCACATAAACAGAGGCAGAAAAGTGATAGTTTATGAAAATATGTCTTGCTTGCAGAAAGCAAAGAAGTTTGAAAATTATGACATTGCCTTTGGGAGACAGTATTTCATCTACTGATGAAAAACTGTGATGATCACCCGTTTTTTACAGAACCACAGAATCAACCAGGTTGAAAAAGACCTCTGAGATCAGTAAGTCCAACCCATTACCTCTGAGATCAGTAAGTCCAACCCATTACCTAACACCACCTCATGCACTAAGTGCCATATCCAGTCTCAAATACCTCCAGGGGTGATGACTTCATCACCTCCCTGGGCAGCCCATTCCAGTGTCTGATCACTCTCTCTTTAAAGAATCCTTTCTAATGTCCAACCTAAGCCTCCCTTGGCACAGCTTAAGACCATGCCCTCTTCTCCTACTGCTGGTTGTCCAGGAGAAGAGACTGACCTCCACCTGGCTACAACCTCCTTTTGGGTAGTTGTAGAGAGCGATAAGGTCTCCTCTGAGCCTCCTCTTCTCCAGGCTGAATAACTTCAGCTCCCTCATAGGACTTGTGCTCCACCACACCCACAGTAAAGAATGTTATACCAATATCTGATTTAAACCTACACTCTTTCAGTTTGAAACCATCCCCCCCTTGTCCTGTCACTACATGCTCTTGCAAATAATCTCTCTCCATCTTTCTTCTAGCTTACTTCAGAACTGGAAGGTCTGAAACTCTTTTTCAAGAAAGATCTCCCTAATTTTAGATTTAAATTTTAGATTTAATTTTCTGTGTCTCCCATCTCACTGACTTGTGGAAAAAATTTTGCATTTTTCCGGATAAAAAACATGGATAAGATGTTAAAATTTTGTGTTGTCAAAAGATTCTGTTTGTACTCTTAGCCAGATATCCTACGATCTTGAGATAGGGTATGTAACTTGATTTGGTCAATGAGATTAACTAAATTGTTGCAGTTATTGCTGCACTTTTTTTTTCTGAAAATTTTGTTTGTCAGACACTGAGCAGCAGAATGAAATTTGTGCACACAACTACTTTTCTTATGGAAAATAGCTGAAGCTGGAACCTTGAAATCTGTTAAATGTGGGCTATTTTTTATGCAGTAGTTGACTTTGGCAGTGTCCTCAGAGGTTGCTTCATTTAGGTTTCTCTACATAGATGCATTACTCCCAAGCCTTGGTTAAAGCTAGGATCTGCTCAGTCATGATGGCATTGGTGCTGGCAGGAAGCACTGCACATACCCTGCTTAGGGCAGCCCTGCTACTTGCAGCAGGTAGGGTACCAGTTTCTGACTTCTGCACTTCACACCCAGGAGTTTATCGGGGAGTGCTGCAAATGGGAAATTGGTGCCTATGCACTTCTTGGCTTTTGGTTCTTCACATGTGTGGCAAGTCATTAGGCTTTCACACCAACCTCCAACTCTGGATTTCTGTCAGTGCAGTTTATCTTCTGCCAGCTATGGGATGTTTCCTGCAATGTTGAGCAAAATTAGGAAAGTGAAAGAGGTTTTAATGTTTTTGCCGATCCAGTCATATTTGGACTAAATATACTGACTGCTACTTTATCAGCAGTAAACACATATTGCCTTCATTTGCCATTAACACAAAGAAAAACACTTTTATTCTTTTTACCTCTTCTTACTTTACTGTAAATGTGTAGCTCTAAAATACACCTTCAAATTCAAACTATTTGGTTGCATTGTTTCTCAAACAGAAGAAAAGTGTTGCTGCTTTCACTTAAATATGATGTGATACTTGTAATTTCCTTGTATTACTATACAAAATTGTGTCTCTGTTGGACAATTCTTTAAAAGCAATTGTATAGATACTTCAGTACATAGGAGGAAATTGCTGATGTTATGCAATGGGTTTACTGCACTTCAAAAAAGGCTGTGCAAGTGCAAGATACTGCAAAATGCTGGTCTTATTACACTGTATGTTCACTCATTTTTACTGGCACATATATTTTAATGGGACAAAATAAAGATTGTGTTGACCCAGTATCTTTATATTACATAACTAGATGACTATTAGTATAACGGAAACTTTTCTAATTTTCCTATCATAAAAACATTTCCATTGCTTTCCAAACAGTGGTGCAACTCAGACAGCCAGCATGAGTCAGCCTACTACAGGCAAGTTTAATAACTATTATGACCTTATAAAGAACACTGTAAGTATTTTAATAAAAAGGAGTATTTTAAATTAACTATCTGAACATTCTGATTAAAAGAAACCATGTTTATACAAGGCTTAGCAGCACATAAAATGGCACGTAATGAGTATACAAATATGTAGCAGAGACTGACCTTCACTTTAAGATTCTGTGAAGCCTAGAGGAATTAGCCAATATAGAGATTAATAAAATGCTTCCTGAGAATATTAACAACCTGTCTGCTATGAGTGTCCTGGAAGCTACCTCTAAGGCTAACTTGTCCTATTTCCCATACCACAAGCACATACTTATGGCCATGGAAAATGTTTTTAAGTATGCTAGGTACTTAGTACCTAAGCATGCTTAGTATGTAAGTACATTACCAGGCATTCATGCTGGCAGCCAGCAGAACGTCCTTTAGCTGGCAGTATACTCCGAAGCCATACAGTGTATTACCTCATGCATGGAGCAACCCTGGAAACTGCTTTTCCATCACAGCATATATATATATATATATATATATATATATATAGACAGAAGGTTGGAAACGAGCCAGACATTGTAAGAACCTCTAAGAGATTAAGGTGCAATACAGTTCAGCCTCTACAGTGCAGCCACCCACATGCACAGAAGTCAGGCTATGCACACTTCCAGTGTGTTATTACTGCCTTGCATCAAGAAAAGCCTACTCTAGCTTGTGTTTGCTCCCACCTCTTAATGGGACAGTTGAGTACCAGCTTGTTAATTGGAATGTCTTCACATATGGTATCCCTAGGGTCGCTGACTGAAAATACTGGAAGTGAACAATGGAAGAGACTCAATAATCATCTTCCTCACTCTTTAGACTTGACTCAAGCAGGGCTGAGGCATGCAAAAGAACAGCACTTCAAACAGAAGGTCAGCTTCTGCCAGTTTGAGATTCAGTGCACATATTTTATGTAACTAAGTTATTTTTGCATGTAAAGTACGTACAGTACAGTGCTATGGCACTGTGAACCCTCCCTACTTCACCACTGCCATGCCTCAGCCTTAACTAGGACCTGAACTTTTCTGCCACATGAAGTCTTAGCTCTCCTTGATGAGATTACAAATACATATAACAGTTAGACAAGATGTGAAATTCCAAGGAAGAAGACATTGGAGAACAAAATCTGCAGGCTGATACTCACATGGAATGCAATTCAGTTTGGAAATATTCACCAAGAATTACTTTAAATGTTGCCATTTATTAAGTAGACAGTTACGTTTAAAAAGCTATACGGGATGTAGTTCCACAGTATTGTATTACCCTATTGCAATTCATTTTTAAGAGGTTAGCAGCCCTGTGGGAATGGCATTGTGCTATGGACTTCACAGACTGTCTGAAAACCAACTATATGAGGCTGCTGTCTGACAGCTGATCGGAAGTGAAGCTACCAGGTTTCAGCCCAGCTCCACACATAACTGGTCCCTAAGCACCACTCCTTCAGATACTCTTGTTTACAATCTCATGAGGAAATTTGGGAGCTGAAGGGCTGGAAATCTAGTAATCTCCTCAGAACAGGGTGGGGAGGTGTAAGAAGGACTGGCCCAGTAGTAGAGCTTGCATAGACAGGTTTATTCTATGAGCAGAGGATTTCACTCTCCAGGGTTGCCAGATCCAGTACTTTTTCTATGAATTTATTTTAAAATCAAATTCACACCCCATTTTTACCACCACACATATTTCCAAAGAGCATTTCTATGTTAAAAGTAGAAATGAAGGAAAAACTAATAGCTCCAAATATCTCAAACTTTAAACTCCAAGTGGATTTCCAGTCACATAAATAAATATTTTGGTCTAAAGTCTCTCAGCCCCCAAATTTGGGTAACAGTACGAAAGATGATAAATCCAGAAAATACCAAGCCTTACCTTCTTGTAGAGACTTCTCAGGTCTCTGTACTGCCACATACTATTGAGGACCTGAGATGCTGCTTTCACCACTTTAGGCGAATGCCTGTTACACACATATATTAAAAGAGGAGAGAGAGAGAAATAAAGAGTGAGAAAGAGACTGTTAAATACAAGAAACCATTCATCCCAATTTTCAAATGCATTGCTATGGATTTAAAGCCACAATTAAAGTGTGTTTCAAGTATACCATAAGATCTTTGGTTGGCATCTTGGAGACCAATGTATTTTTAAGCAAGGGCAATATACATTATCTCTATAGTACTAATCATTCAGTGAGGAGCAAAACATATGCAACTCAGTACATACAGGGATTCATGCTGAATGCATAGTAAGAGTAATGTGAGGTAGCAATTGCCAAAATTGTTGAGGACCCAACTGGCATTATATACATCTATGATGTCCTGGCTATAACTTCTGGCATAAAGGACAAGGAGTTCTTTCTCTGTAAGGTGCCAAACTTCAGCTCTTGACAATGTGCTCAACTCATTAAGTTCCTCTTAGCAGTGACCAAAAGAAACACTCCAGTTGGGTGATGAGCACTGGATTTCAAGTGCAGAGCCAAGATGGAGAAATAGAACTAATAATAAAAAGTCATGATAAATTTCATTAGGAATCCAAATGAGGATTTGGATTTAATGATGGCAATACAATGTGATGTTGAAAATCACATAACTTCACATGGGCTTTCTCTTCTGATAGGTTTTGAAAGAAAATCTGAACTATTGTTACAATCAGTTGGAGTCATATATTCCCCCTGGAATAGGTAATTAAAAAAAAACCTAAAAAAAAGTCTGTATATCAGAGAGTATTCATCTCAGTGAAGAAGGGTCAAAGAGGAACATACCAGGAAGATAATCCAGCCCACTGAGATAACTCAGCACACTGTGCTAGACCAAAAAGATGTAGGACACTGGAAAACCTTGCAAAGGCCAAAGTCCAGAAGGAGGATTGATAGAGTTTGGGGAAATTATTGAGATGATTTGTGTTTCACTCAAAAGAGGCATATAGAATATACATTGCAAAACCAAAGAGAAATCAGAAAACCAGCAGCATAAGTTACTGCTTTGGGCAGAAGTCTTCTCAGGAGTCACACTTTGGTTCATTCTGTGACTTCTGAGAAGGATCACTGGTAGGCTGACACTCAAGCTGGTAAAACAATGTTCATGACGCAACTTATTCAATTAACTTATATAGTATTTTCCTAGTAATTTATTTGGTGCTATTCTCCCCACTTTTATTCCACTTTTCACCCTGAGTACAGCAGTAGGTGGGTAATTAGTGAGTAAACAGGACTTTGATAAACCCATTCAAGTATATTGTTTTTATTAAACTTCCAGTTGTACTGGTTGGTGGGATGCTGGTAGCATGAAGTAATGAGGAAAATAACTGTGCCAACCATTGCATGAGTACTGAGGAGAGAAAGGAACTATGCAAAGTTGATATGGGCTTGGCCACTATAACCTTATGAACATAAGTGCTCTTGTGTGGCCATACAGGGAAAGCCCTGGGCATATTCCAAAGGCTATTGGGGCCAACCCCACACTCCTGGCACTGATATGTACCAGGGTGCACGGCCAGTCTAGTATCCTGCACTTGTAGAAGCACATGCTTTATACTGGACAAGATGATTTCATCCTGAAGTGTTTTACTGTATTAAGTTGAGCGTGCCAGAGTTTTATATCATTCCAACAACCAGCAATTTTGATTTTTAAACAATCAATTACATGTAAGAAACCAAACCAACAGTGCAGAGTACTAACATTTCTGAAAGCTGAAAAATGGAACTTCTACTTAAGATGGGCATTTGTAGCACTGTATGTTGACAGGTTTTCTTTTCTAGAACTGTGTAATCTGTAACAATTATAACACATGACTACAACTCAAAGTACTTGAAGGATACATATCATGATTCAGAAGGGCATTTTGGAATTCCTCAACATTACCTGGGCTAAATATATTCATTAGAAATAGATGTATTTCACAATTATGAGGAGTATTTAGACAGGGAATTATACCCTTGGATCCTCCTAAAACTGCCCATGATACTTTGAAAATTTCAAATTCAGCAGGTCTTAATAATCTCTACTAGATAATGAACAGGTAGACAAATGCATTATTCTGAGGAAAGACACATTCAGCTTAAGTGAAATGGATATGAACCTACTTGCAATATCAGTAAATGTAATCTAGAAAATATAAATATAAATTTAAATAGATTTAATTACAAAATGCAATTGTAAGTAAATTGGCAGAGCACGGGGAGTTTCCACAATGGGAATCACATACTTGGTCATGCTACTATGTTTTACCCCTTATAATTAGAATGTAAGAATGTTTCAATAATGAATTTGGTATGAAAGGAAAAGGGTGACAATAGAGGAAAAGAAATGCGATTAAATTATATTGGCAATGCTCTGATCACATAGGCGAGCATAAGTTCTCATACCAAATGTAGGGTGCATAAATCTTTCCTTCGGGTTGTGCCTGGCTTTGTGGGGCTCTTTTAGAGCTCTGATGCTGCAGTAGGCTGTGTGATGACAGCTTCAAGCAGGTGGACTGATGGGTTTTGTACACTACAGTGAAGGCTTTTTGTTTTCAAACTGCCATAGTCCCATTGCACTATACTTCAGCAGGTTGACAAATATGAGAACCAGGCTATCTGTTTTAGGCAAAAGAAGGATAAAGAGTGAACTCTTCATGAAGAGTGTGTACATAGGCAAACAGACAAGATGAAACCATAGCTGTTCTGAAAATGCCACAGTTGTGTGCAAGACTTTTTTTGCCTCACAAAGCAGCCTAATGCTCTCTTAGAAACAAGTAGTTAGGAGAATCCATGTATCTGTTTTTCTACTATGTCCTGCCTTACCAGCAAGCTGGTGGCAGGGAAAAGGCTGCTGTGAAGAGGGACAGTAACTTTATATTCTTCACTCCTAGAGCAAGAGGAGCAGTCACCCCTTCTGCAGGGTGCAGTCCAACTACTCTGGTCCCTAACGTTTATCAGGATCTTCTGGAATTGCTTGGAGGTAGTGGTTACTGTAGACAATTACTCTTCCTTAAAATGCACGTGGAGTGCACTCCCAGCACTGTTGATGGTACATCAAAAACAAAGCAAAGCAGAGGGAGACTTTTGGTACTGGCATTGTCTGTTTCTTGTCACCTTTCACACTGGGCATATGACTTCTGGTGAAACTACAGAATGCAACTCACGATTGCACAGAGAAGGCAAACACATTGAGGACTAGTAATAACTACTGGAGAGGTTAAAAAGGTGCAAGGTGATTTGCAAAACATACTTGTCTCCTTTACTCTTAGATATGCCAACCAGTTTCTCAATGCCGCCTGCGTCTCGTAAGGCCTTGGCATTCTCCATGTTTTTAGTGATGACTTCATGCAGAGTGCAGCAAATGGCAGTAACGGTGTCATCAGACATGGCCTTGCTCGCTGAGCTGTTGCTGTTGTTAGCGCCTGGCAGTCGGTGGACCAGATCCCTCATGGCATATTTGCCTTTGTTGAAAGAAAATGAAGGGAGAATTCAGAAGATACAGCAATAACAGGTGATGGAGAAGCACGCAAGACTATTAGCACCATTTGCAGCATTGCATGTAATCTAACTGGACACTGATATTATTTTGGAGAAACCCACATTTACATGATTGCATGTTCAAGCATTTCACACATTATGGACTGTAATATTTCCATGCTGCATTAGTTGGAGACATCAGATATGGCTACATCATGCCCTTTAAGAGAAAGAAACTATGATAGTAAAGGCAATATACGTATAAAGATAACCTGAATAACACAATTTACCAAACTTGGCAAGTCCTCATCTCCCACCAAACAAATTACAACTTGTTACTATTAATTAAATGTTCATCAGTTGTTAAAACCTCAAGAGTAAATGCAAATCCAACGTTGATATTTGTGAAAAAATCTTCTCTGAAGGACCAGTTTCACAGTACAAGGTTAATTCTATGCTACGTTCAGTAATTTAACTGGATTTATTACTGTTTCTTAGACTGTATTGTTCAGAGAGGACACCACCTTTCCCATACATCCTTAGCTGTACTGACCAGAAAGGGAGCCTTTCTGACATCTATTCCAGTCTGGTATTTAGTAAGGAGTTACTTAAGAAAAAAACACTAACCTGCAAAACTTAAAATATCCTAAAATGAAAGGAATTTTTACAATGGTCACATTGAACATTTCATGAAAAATAAATTCTGTCAATTACATTTGGACTCAATGATCATAAAGGTCTTTTCCAACCTAGATAATTCTAAGATTATTATAATTTTTTTCACGTTTCAATGAACAGATTTTTTTTTTCATAATTTCCCCTGAAAGTCATGTAGTACTTGTGAAAATAATACAAAATCAGCTTCTGAGAATTTATGCATGTAGTGTAAATATAAATACATATACATGTAGGGCAGGGTTAGTACCAGCACAGATACACAAGAAGCCTCACATCAGTTCTAGAGGATCACTACTAGGGTAAATGGCTGCTCACTCCTTCAGTGTGGTGAAGAGAAGACCTGGGATGGTGCAGGCCTGATGATGTTATTACTTAGGCCAGTGAAGCAACTCTGAATCACCTTCAGTGCAGCTGTGTTAGGAATTTGCAGGCAGCAATCACCGTGAGTGTATCATGAAGGATGAAAAGGACAGGAAAATTGGAAAATATAAATATAATTAGTAATCTAATCTACATCTCATTTTGTGAATGAAATAATCAGGTAAGATTATTGTATATAGTATGATAATTTAATCAGATTTTTTGATAACTTAAAAATGTTCTGATCAATTAGTTTATCAGTACTTACTAAAAATGTTATTTCTAAATTCATAAAAGTTGTTTGTGTCCATATTTGAAAGCAGAGGTAAGAAGAAAGTCACATCTTTCAACTATCCGACATTGAACCATTTTTATTTGTCACAATTTTGCCTGCTGTGGTAGAACTACAGTCAGTCATATTCACACAGGATACTCACAATAAACATAAAAACTGAAATCTCTGTACTGAATGGTTAAACGTAAAGATTATCAAATAGATTTTGTGGTAAGGTGAGGTCTTAGAGAATACTCACTCTATATCATATATATCATCATATATCATATATAATATAAAAGCATTCCTGGTTATCAAAGCCATAACATTCCCAACAAAATGTGTGCAGTAGCATTTGAATCTTGCCAGTGTGCTGCACTACAAATTCTGTCCTGGAACATTTTTATTTCTTTGAACTTAATATTTAATTTACTTGCATCAGAATTTTAAGCAATATTATTGATATCAGATGTAGTACAGCTGCTGTTAGCACTACTTTCTCTTTCAGAAATGGTTTGTTTGAGCAAACTGAAAATCTTCTTTTCCCCTATACATTTATGAAACACTGTTGTACAACATCCTGATATGCTATCTACATCTGCATCTGTTTGTTCTGTGTAACATGAACACATTAATAAATATATAAATGGCCAGTCTTCGCGAACGAAGAACTGGGGAAGGACTTTACACCTTCCAGCCTGCGCATTGGATTTTTTAGGTGAGACACAGTGTGCGCGGAACTGAGCCCACCCTTTAATCCTGAGGTTCATCTGCCGGGGCCAAGCACGCTTGGACGGTGGCAGCGAGGTCCTCAGGACGTAGATGGATTGCCTTATGGGCTAACGAGCTCCATCTTGCCCAGGGAGTGGCCCCGACCGGGAATCGAACCCAGGTCTCTGCAGTGACAGTGCAGCGCCTTTCCCCTAGACCACCAGGGGCTCCCACACATTAATAGGTTGTTTTTCATTTACAGTGATTACTTCAGTTTACAACATATATTAAATTAAGCTTGTATATCAAAAAATAAAATAAACTATGATTTGATGTAGCTTTCACTCTTCTATCTCAGTGCCTGCCACTCGTCAGGAGTAAGTACAAGTAGATAAATCAGATCAGTGAGACCTTCTCCTTTACTCTGTGCACACATCCAGAACAGACCAATGTTCCTTTTTGCTTTTACCCTCACCTAAATTGCAACAGAGCATCTCATCACCTCAGTCCTCTGGTGGAACCAGATCACAATGATCATTCCATTAGCAGCCAAAGATTGCAAGCCTGAGCATGGGGTATAAGGAAATCTGGATGGCTGCCCCAAGCAGATCTCTTTCCTGGAACTGACCTAGTATTCCAGGCAATAGTATTCATACCAGTACACACGCCTAGACACACAAGATGCTTCTTACAATAAATAAAAAAAGCTTTTGGAGCTATCAGGGAAATCTCAGTAGGAAAACTAAAACAAACACAATCAAGCACAGTATAAGCATTCTGGACATGCTAATGCTCAGCAGTTCTAACATTTCTGCTGTGCACACCCTTCAGTTAGGCACGAGAAGATCAAATCAGTATTAGATACTTCCAATAATACAGGTTTCTCATAGATGTGTAACAGTGGGACAGTATTCCTTATTCTGAACAGTTGTAGTAATTCCAGCTCAATACTGCTATTCAATTCTTAATCAGTTGGGTATTTAGACTATATCATATTATGTGTAAAATATATTCTGGGTGGGTCTGGTTGGGGTTTTTTGGTTGGTTAGTTTTGGTTTTTTTTGTTTATTTTGTTTTTGGGTTCTCTTTCCCCCCCTAAGAATTGCATGAAATTTAGCCTTTGGATAGTAGCTTTTAAAGAGGATTTACACAATATGTAAACATAGTCAACATCTTAACAAGAAAAAAACCCATATTTATTTCTTCAATTTCACTCATAAGGAAGACAGAAAGACATTACATAGCCATGATAGGAAAGGGGTTCTCCTGTGGGTGTTTGGGACAACATTTTTCTCATACTATACAGTTAAAAGTTATTTTTCTCAGCCAGGACTTCCATCACTTTCATATTAAGAGGGTGATTCATCTAACATCATGCAGTAAGTCTTTAACTGTAAGATGATAGTATTTGCTTATTATTTCAATGATGAAGATTTAATGTCTTTTCCTTTGCATGATAAAGTCTCACTAGCACCTTAATAGCTGCCTCCATTACTTAATTCAGGAAACTTATTACTTCATGGGATCAAACTGATAGCTGGCCTAAGAGAGAGTCTGCCTTCAAAGCCAAACAGTAGAGCAAACTATTCTTCTCATAGATTTAACCAGAGTAAAAGCAGATAAGGTTCTACTTCTGGAAATATTTCCCTACTATTGCCTTGAGACAAATTCACTGCTGTTGTGACCTCGTTGACTTCATTTCCATTTTCAGTCATCTCTGAAAAATTACTTTGACAGGTTGGCAAACTAATTAAACAGTTGTGACACGGTTCCTAGTTTGAGGGAACAAGACTAGGAAAATTGACCTATTGAAAAAACAAGAAACCTCAAAAAGTTACTAATTCAAGCTAAGAACCCTGTCCTAGAAGTAGAGCTTGTTCTATAGTTCACCATTTTTCTCCCCCTTTAAGATATCCATTAATTCACATATGTAGCTAGATAATATAAAAATGGCAAAATGTCACCATACTTTATTGTAAAGATACAGATATCCTATGCCAGATCTACTGGTGCTTTTATGTCACAATACATGGGAATTTTCTTCTTTTTGTGCTAACATGCACTACACTTAGACATATGTGGGTTTGGGCACTTTTACAATCCTTGTATTTTTAATACCATTCAACTTCAGCATTTCACAGACTTTATGGAAAGAGTATGACTGGAGAGCTATTATTGTTGCTTTCAATCATTATTTAATTAATATGCCCAAACTGTCTAATCAATTTGTCTGGAACAAATTTTGATCATGAGTCAGTGTATTCAACTGATAGTCTAATAAATTAGAGTGTTCATTTCATGATAGCAGTGGTAGAAATACCACTACTGCATTTTAAAGTTCACTTCTGCACCATGCTTTTATAGCCAGATACCATTGTTTTAAGGTATAATTGATTAGCACAATTGGCACTAGTGTACCACCTACAAGTGCCTCTCCAGATCCAGCTGTTGCTGTTCCAGAGGAACAGAGGAACGCTGTCCCCTCTCTGAACACTGGAAATTTTCTAGTACACACTGAGGTGCAAGAGGGGGTGTAAGAGCCCACAAAAAAAGAATGATTATGCTTATTGCAATATGTTGTAAACTCTGGACTCAGACTGCCAAGACAATACAATGTATTTTGTAGGCATCAGAGCAGCAGTGAAACTCATGCCATTAAAGGGGGTAAAATTTCGTTACTTTTCACAGGGAGATTTTTTTTTGCCACTGAAAACACTTGAGGGTGTATTGCTATTGAACTATTGAACTATGTTATTGAACTATGAATTGTTATTGGAAGACCAAAGTGGAAAGAAACTGGAGCAGTAGGACTGGAAAGCATGACCCCAAAAGCATGAGCTCCACCACTTTTAGCAAGTATGAGAGAACAGAGGACTCTGTATCAGTTTGGGATTTAGGTGCAAAAATAAAGATGAAACCATTTTCAGGCATGAAGGGGGAAATTTATGTGTACAGAGGGAG